GCCCTTGCAAACCTTGATAAAATGACCTGGTTTCATGCAATTAAGACATAATTTAGCTGTTTTTAAAACTTCTGCTCTCTTTTGCGGAGTAAGTTGCAAGAACTTGGAACAACTTGATAGGTGATGTGCTTCTTTGCATACTACGCATTCTTGCTTTTGAATAAGAAACGATTTTGACTTTATGTGATCTGAGTGTTTTGACTCGTGTATGCCCCCTTTGTTTAATTCTAATGTATCCAACAGATTCGCTCTTGAACTAAGAAAAGCTTTGAATTCTTCTAATGTAGGAAGCTCTTTATCCAATCGCTCTTTCTCCCATTCTCTTGCTGTTATACTATCAAGCTTGCTCGAAGTTAAATATATTAGCAATGCATCCCAATGCTCGGTTGACTGCCCTAATGCATTTAATGCTCGCAAATGTTTGTTTAATGTGTCTATCATATTGCGTAATTGAATTGCTGACTCTTCTTTTATTGAATTTATACTAAAAATAGCCTTTATGTGATTGTACGTTAATAGACTTTTGTTATCGAAACGATTGCAAATAGTTTCCCAAGCAATAGCATAATTGGCAGCCGAAAAATCGAGAGATTTGATGATTTGAGACGCTGCACCTTCTAACGAGGCCTTCAAATAATGGAATTTTTGTATAGGATCTATTGTTTCGTTTGTGTGTATAAGTGATTCGAACGTATCTCTGAACCCGAGCCATTCATCTACATTACCTTTAAATTTTGGCAATTCAATTGTAGGCAATTTGATGCCCGTTGGTTTGAAAATAATATTTTGATTAGCTTGTCGCGATAGATTAGGAATAAAGGCAGTATCATCAGTTACCCGTGCGTGTGATCCTCGTGTTGACTCATTCATCGCTGCACCTAGAAGCTGTTGTGTCATCTTACCACGAGCAAGTAACTCTTCTGCATGTGCCACAACGTTAAAATAATCCTCCTCGAACCTTTCTCTGTATTGACTCGTGTCTGTTTCGTCGTTTGTAAGTTCATCGATATTGGCCTGCACTTCATCGTACTTTTCGTACACCTCTCGAATAACGGTAAGACGTTCTTGAATTTCTAACCTACGTGTATCTTCTAATGCCTGTGTGGCGTCTGGAAAACTATGCATAACTTTAGCGATATATGTTTTGAATGTAGTGACTCTACTTTTGTATTGACCTCGACGTTTAACGAGTGCTTCCATTGTGTCGTTGCAATCTAAAGCTAAATGTATTACGAACTCTTTGTATTGTTTCTACGACTATTTGTATTGTTTCTATAACTATAATTTGAGGTTAGGATAGGATTGGGACGT